CCTGAGCCTGCACAGGTGGAGCAGGACACGCAGGAAGCCGCTGAGAGAGCAGAGGAGGAAGTGCCTACGCATGATGAGGAGGTTTCTGTGGAAGATGAGATCCCTCCAGGTCAAAAACATCCTGATCTTGAGCTCGAGGGTTCTGGGGAAGAGATGGAAAGCCCTGCTGCAGCGGACAAAGGTACCTTTCAGGCCATGGTGTTTGAATTGGTGTACGTTGCAGTATTGGGTCCATTGCAATTAATATTCAAGGATTCTGTTTTTTACCCCGTAGGACAGAAAACCCTTGGTAGATCGCCTGGCAGCTGCAACGGAACCCTGGCAAAAAGAGATCTTACAAGAATGTCAGCAAATGCTTCAAGAGCTGAATGAGCGGGATCGCATGAGGGACACTGATTTGGTCAAGGCTAGGTTGGGGTTTATTGGTATAGGTACTGCATGATCATGATCGATCGATTGTCCATTCTGCTCTTCATTCCCTGCAGCAGGCCCAAAGAAAAATGAAGAAAGCAGCGCAAGAGGTTGAGGATGAGGAGAAAGCACTCCGTGAAGAAGCTGAAGAAATTGAGGAAAGGGAGCAAAACAAGGGTCGTGGGCGTGGTAGGGGGCGTGGTCGGGGCACCCCATCAAAAAGACCTGCTGCCGCAGCAGCTGGTGCTATGAAGCGCCCATGTGGTTCACCATCATCGTCATCGATTCCAAAGAAGGCCAAGGTGGATTCAAAACAGTCTACTAAATTGGATCCCTGGATAGAACTGGTCAATGATCAAGAAATCATGGAACCTGCTGTAACTAGACTTGATGTTCATGGTAACCCATGGGCTCCGAGCAAAAATCAGCCAAGGAGAAAGCATTTGAGGAACTCCAAGCCCTGAAACACGCAGCTGAATTCGATAACATGCTGCCTTTGGAAGAACTGAACATCGTGCAGGACACAACGAAGTCTTGGCCTCAAAATCCCATGCATGCGCAGCTCCGGAACTAGGAACTCCTGTTTGAATGATTTGTTTGGTACACATGGCCGTGGCATGTGTCCAAGGACCTTTACACTGAAGCCAAACCTTGATATCCTGGAGCCTGCACCTCCTGAGAAACAAGTCGGAAGCATTGGAGTGATGAACTTTGACTTGCTGAATTAAACATACTCTCCAGTGTTCTTTGTGCTTGGTGAAGTGATGAACCCTTTGACTCATTCGATTATTCTATCGAAATCTAAGGATGAGGTCATCGAGCTTGTATGTCTATGGTGCTGATAAGGAATATGTCGCACAGGTGAACGAAGCTTTGGAACTTGACTTGCAGGCTATGGTGCGATTGTTTGTACATGCACATATATATTATAATATTATTCAAGTGGAATGAAGTTACTAAAAGCGTACACCAATCAGGTCAACAAGCAGAAGGGGATCAGTATCGCCTGGGCCAAATATGGTGGCATTGTTGCAGCGTGGGCTCCCTAAAGAACACACTTGCATTCTTGGAAGCATTGGATCATGTGTATGTTGCTCCTGCAGGTATGCACATACATTTAAATTGCTCAGGTGGGAGATTGCAAAGAAGGCAGCACGATGGTTGGCACCCCATGAACATGAGGATAGCCAGCGCGATTGACTGGAGTGTGCCCTTTTTTTCCGCTTGATCAAGTGATCTATAGCTATAGGCTGGATGGAGCCGTGCATTTCTGAGCTGAAAACTAGAAAGGGGGCTAGAAGGGGCTAGACCGTGTGTGCTCCATGTGATGCAGTTCTGTGCATGTGCAGGTTGAACCCAGGTAGATGCAGTGAATACTTTCGTGATGTTGACAGTCAGATTCTGGCTTAGGGTGTCTGAGCTTCCCAATCCTTGCCATGAAACAGTGGCAAAAATCACCCTTAGCCCTGACCAAGCGTTGCGCGACATGTTTGATTTGGCTGGGATGTCCACTGGTAGTGCTTCCTGGATGCATCAAGTCAATGCATGTGTACAATACAATATATATGATCATTTTTTGATCTTAAATGGCAAGTACCTGACCGTTTGGAAATCAGATGATCAGGATTCACGCGTGTGATTTTATTGCCCAGCAATCAGATGAAGTGCAGCGGGCAAGCGACCAAGTGTAAAGGTGCATTTTGCAAATACATGCAAATATATATACATTAATTTTGGATCAATGTGAAGATTTATTCTTCTGTGTTGAGGATCTCACCAACCTGGATCTATTCTCTGGTGAAGCTTCTGTGTCAAGAGGGTTTGGCTCTGTCCTTATCAAACTTCTGTGCTGCTGGCAATTCAACCAAAAGTTGGGAGATGTAGATCCAAGGCGATTTGGGACAAAAAGCGTGACCTTCTTGCAAGAAGTGTTCATTGATCATGATGCATATAGCTAGTTCAAATTTGTTTCAGAGTTGTCTGATCACTTGCCAAGATCAACATTCGACATCCTGGACGATGAGATTAGGGGGGACATTTGCACAACGTCCTGTACTTAATTAAGCTTTTGTCAAGGTGACAGGATAACAGTGGTTAGCTGCATTTACAAGTTTGCTCGGAAACGATATCCATGATTGAGGCTTGGCTTCTTGCGATGCTTGCAACTAGTTCTTCGACTTGAACGGGGAGGGATGCTTCATGCAGGCCCCCCATGCAAATCATTCGTCTGGATCAACAGATCGACAAGTGGAAGATATTCTTGGCGCCCTTTTGGCCTCTACAAGCTTCTGCAGTATGTCCATGGAGCCAATGTGACACTTGGAAGTTTAGGTTACACTTGTGGGTCGATCTCGGTTCCACCAATGTAGTGTGCAAAGCAAAACCTAGCTTAGGATCACCGCTCGCCTGGCAATTCTTTGCCTAGTGGTATCTGCACGGCTGGGATGGTTTTTGATAGAGCAGCCTTTATCATCCAACATGATTGCCTTCCCCTACATAGTGTACATTCAGAAGCTATTCCAACATATTGGCCTGGCTTGGCAGCAAACATTTCTGTCACTTGCATGATGTATGTGTATACACGGGTATTCAAGTTTAATGAATCACAGGTGCATTATGATCGTCTCGACTGATCATGATCATGTTTGACAGCTCAGGTGGATGGCAAGCTATGGACACAGCTACTTAAAACCCACAAAGGTTTTCGGCAACTGGTGGGGGGCCTGAATATATATGCAATTAATTGCAGCAAATCTATCCTTGCAAATAATGATGGTATGGCCTAGGCCAGTCCAAGGAGCATTGAAGAAAAAGCTGAGAACCAAAGAAAAGAAAAGGGCAAAAGAAATGGCCAAAAAACGTCGCATGGTGCATCGGACAATTTCGAAGAGTGGGAAGATGCAAGTGTCAAGGGCATAGCTTTGCATGCTACTAAGATTGTGCAGGAATTACATTGTAGCAATTTGTTTTATTTACATCTAGCCTGTCTAGTGTGACCAAGGAGTGGGGGTCCCGCGTTAACTTCGAGTGCTGCTTATCCTCGTGGGTATGGCCGCAGAATTGCTCAATTGCACCAAAGGATTCCTGATGCTGACGCTTTTCTGTGCTATGTGTTTGTGAGACTGTGTGTAGGCACTTGCTGTACAAACGCTAGCTACAAATAAGGATCAACAAGATTTGTATGAAAAGCTCTATGGCAAAGGCAGCAAAGTTCAAGAATGTACCAAGATCAAGGCAGCTTGATTATCTCAATCGATAATATCACTGTGCGTGCATGCATGTGTAGATATAACATCCAACCCTGCATGGTCAGGCACCCCACCAATGGCGACATGCTCAATTGGACCGGTTGCAGCACTTCCTGAGGGTCCAGGTGGAGCTAGGCCTCTATAAGCCACTGCTATCGGAGGGTTTGGACTTGGACTGAGCGTTGCAATAATTTCTATGACTAGCGTGAGAGGACCCTCAATCGCAAAGTCATGTTTGTACAATTCGAGCCTCATATGTGGGAATAGATGTGCCCATATAGTGAGGCTGCAATTCACAGCAGGATGAGCAACACATAGCGTGAAATCTGCGTGAAATTTCGTGAGCCAACATTAAAACGCATGAACCGGCATTGTTTTGCGTGAACCTGAAATGCTCAAAAAACATACTTTTTAAAATAGTTTTTGTTTTTTTCACTTTTGCGGATGCATGAGCAGCAAATCGGAATTGATGGATCTGGAAAGCCATTTTGGCCTAGTTGGAAGGTTTCAACCACTGAAAGGATGGGATCAAACAAGATCGATCTTGTCCAAAGTGCTTTGGATGCAGCAAAACTCCGAACGGAGCGAGCGGAGCAACCGGCCAACATAGATATGGTGGACACGCCACCTCATGACAATGGGGCTGAGGGCCAAACACCCACCGGACAAATGAGGCCAGATCATTTTTATGTGGATCACTGTATCATCACTTTTAAGGTTAATGTGTTTCCAATGAAGTGCAGGAGGAGAAAATCAAAGGGGCCATCTGAGTTGGGCAGAGGACCTGTGCATGTGAGTGTGTTTGTGATCACAGTGTGCTGTCATGACAATTATAATTGTTGAGGACTTAGCGACCAAACGACAATCCCTGCGACAGCAGAAGAGCTGAAGGCTAGCATGGAGGAAGCCAGGCAGTTCATGGAGACACAAGTTACAGCAGGCTCCCCAGCAACACCAAAGAACATGATCCGGAGAACAAGCAGTGCGAAGACACTTCACACAAATTCGAGTTCAAGATCTAGATCTTCAAGAAAGCAAAAGGAGGCTGAACCTGCTGCACAGGAGACTCAAACCCAACCTAGTCCACGAACGAAAGCAACAGCAGCAAAGACCAAGGCGAAGCCAAAACAGGTTGCAAAAGCCAAATCAAAGCCAAAAGGAGGGAAAGGAAAGACTGTTCGCAAAAGCACCTTAAAGAAGAAAAAACAGATGTCAGGACGCAGTGAAGTTGTGACTTCAAAGGATGAAACAAAGGAAAAGGCTGCCAAGGAAGACAGCAAGGGATCGGATGGTGCAAAGGCAAAGGCCAAGGTTGTGCCCAGGAGCCCACGAACAATCAAGGCGGCAAAGGCAGTCATTAGCTGCTTGAAACGGGCAGATACCACGGACATTGGCAAGGGAAGTGCAAAGAAAGCAAAGGTTGCTGCAGATGCTGGGCATGGAAAGAAAGAAAAGGCGAAAGAAATAAAGGAGAAGGATCCGGATGAGGAAGCAGAGGAGACCAGTGAAGACGAGGATGAAATTCTAGCGAGGCAGCTTCAAATGAAAAGGGATCCACACGCACGATATATGCGATTCTCCAGATCCCTGAAGCGTCCCTAGGCTTCAAATAATTATGGTTTGATCCATGGCCATAGAAGAATCCTATTATTTAATAATATACTTTTCGGACTTTAAATGTGTGATTGAGGAAAATCGAGCCCAGCGGAACTTCGAAAAGCAGGACGGATTGCAAAGCATAGTTCGAAGCTTAGATAATTCTCAACATTAGTCGACAAGTATGATTATTTATTTTTTTAACAACATTGCATGCATGCATGTAAATAAATGTCACAACTAAGACAAAGAGCAGCTCGCCATATTGCACGAAGCATACTTGGAGTGCAATGGCAAGTGGCAAGAATCAGAATTTGTTTTGCAGCTGCAAAAGAAGGCATCACAAAGGACCAAATGTACCAGACGATGGATGACAAGAAAACAACTAGAGGAAAAGTATGATGCAGCAATGGCTGATGAGATCATTCGACGAAAACAAGACGATGAAGAACTACGTCGGACACAAATACAAAAGAACCCAGACAACCCTGCTACTTAGCTGAATTATGTTCTACTGATGAGACATATTCCTGCATGCATGGTTCCTGGATACTCCCGGTTATCAATCAGGACCTTGAAGTCTATTTGTGCTGGGACAGCACTGTAGAGGAGGAAGAAGAAGACTTGGCAGTGACCCAATTTTGGAAGGCAGTTGATGATGATCGCGATGTGCATGAAAAAATTGATAAAAAGAAGAAGAAACGTCACCGTGGCAAGGGCAGGTCAAAGAAGCATAGCAAAAAGAAGAAAAACAAAAAGAACAAAAAGCACTCTTCATCATCGACGAGCTCTGAGTCCAGTTCATCTTCACCGAGCAAATCGTCTTCAAGTTCCAGTGATGGCTCGTCTGAGGTGCAATGGAATGATTGGGGCTCGTCGTAGCAAACATAATAATAATTATTGTAATTTTATAAATAGATGATAGAATTTCCTTGGTCAGGAATCTCGCAAGAAAAAGAAGAAGGACAAGAAAAGCAGCAAAGGAAAGGAGAAGAAGGAGAAGAAGGAAACACCAAAGCAAGCTGAGGAAAGAGTGCGAAAGGAGAAGGAGAAAGAATTGAAAGAGCTAGAGAAGAAAAAGAAAGAGGAAGAGCGGAAACATCTGGCTAAGGGGAAGCAGGCTAGGTTAACAATGGTTAATTATAAACAAACATCTGGAGATCTTAAGACTAGGATGACAATTGTCCTTTGATGGCCAGGCCTTGGCAAAAATCAATGCGCAAATCAACAAAGGGGTGCAGTTGAAAGAAAAGTTGAGTACATTGCAACTTTGCTTCATGGGTTTATTTTTAAGAAGCAAGGCAATGAACAGCTAGCTGTGCTATCATGTAAAGAAATATATAATTAAGGTGCATGCATGCTTCTTCCTATCGCTCAGGTCTGATTCTGTTCGCAATGCTGTGGGGAAGGACCTGGAGGAGAATATCAAGTCTCTCAAGAAAGATCGAAACAAAGCGCAGGAAATTGTCGACAAAAATCAGGTGGATTTGTTCATGATACAGACCATGAGCTTGTAACAAAACACATGCAGTAGACCTGCTGAGAGTTTGTTGCGGTACGTGGTCATATCGATCGATCTAGGTGGATAAAGTCGACGAGGCTATTGACATCTCCACCAAGGCGGTGTCTAGGTTTGGAGACTTCTGCAAACAAAGCAACCTCAAATAGAGGTTGAGTGCTTTTGGGGCATGCTTTGCCATAGCCAGCGCTGGCTGTGAGTGAGTTCCAGTGAAAGGGAGGGATATGGTTTCAAGTTCTGGGAACTCGTGTTCACCTAAAACCACTAGCTATATAGAGCCGAGTGAGTCTACTGTACACCTTTCCTTGAAGCACTGGACGGGGCTTCACTTCGGAAGCCTGCCTGGAGGGCAAAGCCCAGTGACATGCAGTGTGTGTGTTTTCTAGACACACCCTTTGAGAAAAAAAGGACTATATGCAACCATCATGTTGTTCAACACCTTGCTATGCTGCATGCACATATAATTATACACATGTGGTGCCATTTCTTCGGAAGGACCTCGATTGGCTGGATATGGATCTGATGTCATCAACAATTTGGTTGATGATGTATCTTCCGGGGCCTCTTGACAAAAGTATCTGTTGTCAGTTGTCCTGGGTTTCTCGGATATACCCACTAAGTAATTCTATGAGCAACTCAGAACCCTGATCCGCACTCTCGCACAGGTTGTCTCGGTTTCCCGCGGTATGAAAGGCATCCAATCCCATGTGAAGGTGCCTTGGTGCAATCAAAGGGTGAAATGAGTCTCAATGTTTGGGCCCTTGTATTCTGGCATGGGTTTATCTCAGGAAAGTGGACAATTTGGTTGCCATCCCGACAGCTATAAACTGGGATCGAAATCGGCTGCCCATGCGGTTCGCAACTTTTGGAAGCACCTAGATCTCCCCATTGTCTTCTGGCTGAAAGCTTGTTCACGAACTGTTTTTGTGATTGTGAGACCCTGATCCTGGGCCAGCTCAACACAAACAAATTTGTGGGTTTATGCTAGCTGAGGCCATCAATGAAATTTCGATACCGGTCAAAAACGAAAAGCTCCCTGCTGGATATGAAATGAAGAAAATGCCATTGATTTATCCTCATGATTTGGTGGGCTATCTATTCAACACTTTGGGCATTACAATATCGCAAGAAGCAGTGACCAGATATTGGCTCCATCATTTGAGCACCGAGCAGCCCTTTGCAGTTCATGGCCCTGGGGACACTAACTGTGTCCCTCTGGGGCTGTATGGGGATGGAGCCAGGTTGGCAACGTTGTACAAACACGAAAAACTGATCGCCGTGTGGCTGAACCTGCCACTATATCGACCCCGCTCCACCAGGAGCTCACGCTGGCTGTTGTTCAGTATCATGGCTGACCAACTTCACAGCCACTGGACAATGGACGCGGTGTTGCGGCATATGCTGTGGAGCTTTTGGGCTTTGTTCAACGGAGAAATTCCACAACGTGGACCCTTTGGTCGTGAGCTCCCGCCAAACTTGGCTGGAAGAGAGGGGGAACAAATTGTACATCGTCGGAAATTACAGTTTGTTATAACTGAGTATCGTGGAGATTGGGAGTGGCACAGGGATCTATGGCATTTTGTTCAATGCAGCTGGAAATCAGAAAAGGTCTGTTGGATGTGTGACGCTAGACGGTGTGAAGACTGGCAATCGGCATATTGGAATCTTGAAGAGAACTCAACATGGGCGAACAATCCCTTTACTAAAGCTGAGTTTATGGCTGAGAGGCAGCCTGAGAGAGGACTCTGTTTCTTGGCGTTGATTCACCCAAGGGTTCATTTGTGAACATTTTTGAACGTCGTGGGATTGACTTAGTTGGTGCTTCAAACCACGTGACACTGCGAGGTCCTTTGTTCAAATCACATGACACTGTGAGGTCCCCTGGTGTTGGCCCCGGGATTCCACCCTTCAGCAATTCGATGGTGCAGCATGCACATACTCAATTTGGGCCTCTTCTACCGCAGCAACGGTGGCGCATTGCGACTAGACTAGACCATATTTAATTTGGAATTCTAGTTGTGGGTGACCCTCCCCTCAATCCCCCCCTCTCCTTGCTTGTAGCTTGTCTGGGCCCTCGCACGGCAAAGCTGAGGGTTCTTCTGGCAAACGATCTATGCTTCTTCGGCGAAGGATCCTTTCAAGATCGCTTGGATCGAGCATACGAGCACTTCCAAAACTGGGTGAAAGAACGCAAGATACCACATTCTCAACCCCGATTTCGGGAAAGACACGTTGCTGGTTTGTTCACTTAGACGCCTTTTTGTTAGTAGAGCCTAGCTCTCATTTGTGTGCCAAACATGGTGGTGGTAGTCATGACCATTCTGATCCTAATTAAGGTGATCAAGGCCGACAATGAGGTGTGTTGGACACACAAAGCTTTTAATGGGAGAGTTCTATTGGAATGGCTCAGCTGGTGTCTTGAGAATGCCTGGATGAGATTCCCAGAAAAAAGGAACAAGCGCTTTGGCCTCACCTACCAGGCCCAGACTCTTTGCAGCAATTGGTGGACCCTTTAAGCAGTTGCACCCGTCCATGAGCCATGTGCCCCCCCTTCACAGAGTGTCTGCAGTCCTCAGGAGAAGCATGGCTAGATTCATGGGATTGATGGAGCAATCAAAGCGGTTCTTGTGCCTAACTTTGAACTAGCTGGTCCGTGCATGCATGCATGGGTAATTACAAATTGACATCTTTGCTTGTGCGCGGATGATCTGAGGACGCCCTTCAGAGCACAAGAGATGGTTCAAGAAGGTCGCGGATATGCTGATGCGTTCATTTGCCTCAATATATTGGCTGTGAGGCAAGTGACGCTTTAGCAACAACAGCCTGCTGTGAACAGGTAGACTTGATCTTGTTGTATGTGCCATGCTATGGGTGCTGATCAGGGACCTGCGATTGGAGTGGCAAATCACACCAAAGCTTCATGCACCCTTGGCTATGCTTCATTAAACAAAAATGGTCACAGCATGGCATGTGACAACAAGTCTGTTTCGTGTCTGACGTGTGCCACCAGCAAGGCTTTTGGACACCTTCTGCATCAATGCAGAAAGCACCTGGAAAACCCCCGCTACTTCCATACCTATGCTGATGAGGATTCAATGAAATGGTGCAAGAGTTTCTTGGTGAAGAATTGTGTTTTGGGCAAGGCAGGTGATGGTTAAGTGTGTCAATGATCTGCTTGGATCCTAGGCATAGCAACATATAGCAAACCGCGCACTCGCCATTTGTGGCTGCTTCGCTGTGGAAAGCTACGGATCAGGTCTATGAGGACTTGGATTTCAAAGCCACTTGACTATCTACTTAGCTCTTGTCTGAATGAACTTCATGCTTGATTTGGTGAATCCTATCTTATCTTAGGTTGAATGCCAGGGCGAAAGAGAACGAACGCCGTGATCGTGAGGGATAAAGAAAAAAGTGTGAAAGCGTGTGATCAGGGCCTCATGTTAAAACCATGTAAACAATGCATGTTCTTGAAACGTGCATTTAAACAATGCTGGTTTGAATGTCTGGGTATATATATATATATATATGTCAGGTAGTTTCATAACCTGGTACATCTGGTCAGAGTCATGACTCATGTCGTTAAAACAAAGGGCCCATGTCCCACCCTCTTCACCTCCTTGCACCATGGAACCAAACACCGGCCCCGTCACGCCTGCAGGTCCATGGAACCCATCATCACCGCCGGCGCGACGCCCGCCGCGGCGCCCGCGACGCCGGCGACGCCCGGCGCGGCGACGGCCACCACGTCGCGCGCCACGTCGCGGGGGCGCTCCTTGGAGCGACGCGTGTGGACGGAGGAGCTGCAGCGGTGGGCTGTGTTGGTGAGGTCGGTCAGTGTCAGTCGCTCTCGGTTGGTTGGTTGGTTGGTGGGTTGGTTGGTTGGTTGGCCTGCCTCACGAAAGATCACGAAAGGATACGAAAGGTAGTTAATGGTAACATCTCATTAGTAACCCCTCCTTGAAAAAAAGACAAACATATTTTGGGGGGGTAGTCAAAACTCTGAACCGCAATTTATAAAACCTCCAGGCCATTTGGCAGAGGGATAGTACTCTAGTACTTTCATTCTGCTTTCATTTTGCTTTTATTTGGCAAGGATAAGCCAGCAGGGCTGAAGTGGGGTTGATTATTGTAGGTTTGTTTATCATTCCAGGGGGTGGGAGTCCATTGAACATAAGTGTTTTTTGTATTTGTTTGATAGGGTTTGAACAAGGGAATCTAAAGCTTTTGGCTAGCCAATGTTTTTGGAAATCTGAGGGGCAACGATAAAACATAGAGATTCCACAAAAACATAAAAATAAACTAGTATTTGTTTGCACAATCAAAGTAGTATTGTAAAATTCTGGTAGGCCAAAAAGCAGATTATTGTTGTAGTGGATTACAATTGATAAATGAACATGTTTATCCATTTTGGGGTCTGGATGTTGGCGCAATTAAAAGTAGTATTGCAAATTCCTGGCAGGCCAAAAAGGATGTTAACATTAGCCTCGTTGGCTCGTTAATGTGGCTGTTTGGTTGGTTGAGGTGATTGGTGAGGCAGGCCTTTCAGAACTGACCACTCATGGTGGGCGCTCACCTGCAAACAGTTGACAGTTGAATGTCCAAAGTTGGCTTGTTGTTTGCATGGGGGTAAGACTAAGCCAGTGTTCAGCTTCAGCCCGACTGTGCGGTGACCAGTATGTATGCTGAGATGAGAATTGGGTCGAAGTGACATACAACTTTCCCAGGGCAAGTCCTAAGTCATGTACAAATGTAAACTCTGCAATATCATTGGCACACACTCATGACATAGGCCTTGTTGACCTGGTCCTCCAGGATTTTTTTAAGGATCTTTGGTGACAACCTCTGGCATCTCTGATTTTGAGGTTTTTCAACTTTTGCTTCATGACATACATACTTGTGGGGGGTAGGCT